TTGAATTGGGTTGTAATGAGACTTTTCATGGCCAGGTTGACCGCCTTCGTCATGAGGTCTTTTGGCCTAGCAAGGCGTTTCATCTTCATTGATCCCAGTGTCCTCCAGAGCGCAAAGGATTGGCTGATCAGCAAGCAGGGTTCAGATGGCTGTTTTATGCAGCAGGGAACTCTGTACCACAATGACATGAAGGTGTGTTTAAATGTGCAAATGTGCTGTAACTGGTCTGAGACGGACCTTAATCATTATGCTGCTTCGTTTTAGGGTGGTGTTGGTGACCATGACTGGATGACTGGCTACGTTGTTGCGTCGCTGCTTGAACTAGGTGTCCTTGTCACGGTAAACGTGCCTACCAGTAGTTAGACAAGCTCCTTGATGACCTTCTGGTTATGTAGTCTGACATTTTGCTTTGCTTTCAGGATCCCATCATCACCAATGCTCTGTCTTGCTTGAGGCCTGTTGTTGGGAACCTGGGAAACACTTACACCACGGCTCTGCTCGCCTACACCTTCAGTCTGGCTGGAGAGACCAGCACTCGAGCACAGCTTTTAAATGCCTTGGACAATGTTGCCATTTCTGAAGGTCAGATTGACTAGGCTCTTGTTTTGAGGTGTTCGGGTTCTTTGGCATCAACCTTCTGTCTCATCTTAAGGCACTAAGCTCCACTGGTCTCAGACTACATCTGGTGACACTCTGGCGGTGGAGATCAGCGCCTATGTGCTGCTGGCAGTTCTCTTTGTACAGCCTCTCACGACTGCTAATCTAGGCTATGCTAACCGCATTGTCAACTGGCTTGTGACCCAGCAGAATCCTTATGGAGGATTTTCTTCCACCCAGGTGAGTGATTACCAAACATGAGCACACGTATCTGAGTGGAGTTTTTAATCTGGTGCTTATTTTTAGGACACTGTGGTGGCTCTTCATGCTTTGTCTCTGCTCGCCGCTGAAGTGTTCCGCATGGAGGGCTCCAGCACTGTTACCGTACAGTCGTTGTCTGTGGCAGGAGAGGTTTACAACTTCGATGTGAATCGAGACAACAGGCTGCTGTATCAGGAGAAGCCGCTGAAGAACGTTCCTGGCAGATATAGTGTTCGAGGGAAGGGCTCCACCTGTGTGTCTGTGCAGGTCTGAACCTTCACCTGCTTAACTGCTACCTCTATGCTTGTCCTAGTTCCTTGTCATGTTTGGTTTTGTACTCCCAGGTTGCATGTTTTTACAACATCCCGACACCCATTAAAGCTTCCAGAACACTTGGCGTTGAAGTGAAGGTGGCAAGAGACTGCAAAGTGCGTGGAGCAGATCTCATGTTGAACATCACTGTGAAGTAAGAACCACTTTGACCTGTTTGACCCTTAAAGCATCTTTACACAGCTGCGCTAAGGCTGCTCAGTGCCTGCTCAATTCTGTGACTATTCCACATGAAAGCCAGTCCAAATCATGTAGTTCTGACCCACCTCAGCCCCTAATATCAAAGTGCACAGTTGGAACTTCAATTTGTTTTTTGTTTTTATTTCACTCCCCTTCATTTAGGTACAATGGTGCAAAACCAACTACCAACATGGTTATCGTGAACATTAAACTCCTGTCGGGTTTCACAGCAGATACGTCACTGGTTTGTATGTTTTGATGAATTGTATGTAGAGTCCCAAGATGCTTGAAGCTGCTTCACATGTTAATGGACTTTCCTCTCAGCTTGGATCTCCACCAGATTCATTTGCTCCATTAGTGCAGCGGGTTGATACTGGAGATGACCATGTGCTTGTGTATCTGAAAGAGGTGAAATGTGCACTGGATATGTTTTCTATATGCCCCCTTCATGTGTGCTGCATATGTACTTCTC